CAATCATCCTCCCCGACTTCAAATCCTGAAATTCACATCTGAAATTCACAAACATATGGAAAAAATTTAGCAACACAATGACAATCATGAGTGAGCTTACTAATAGATATCAGATTGCAATCCAAAGTAGGAACATGAAGCACAGAAGTGAGGAATAAATCTGGAGAAATGAGGACAAAATCAAGACCAGCAACTTTGGAAGCTGATTCATCAGCAATCCGAACAGTGAGTGTCGGATTACACGACTGGTAATCCATTAATAAGGAGACATCTCCAGTCATATGATCGGAGGCACTTGAGTCAACAATCCAGGGGCGAGAAGAGGTTGAATCCAAGACGAACGCGGATGGAGAAATACCTTGATAAGTAACAATGCCGGTAGCACCCGATGCCGCACTAGTAGGCTGGACCGGTGACAATTGACCGAGCATCTTCTAGGACCGAGCATCTTCTGGAGGGCATGAATATGTTCTTTGCTGAATGAGCTCGTTTCTGGAGAGGCTTCAGTGGTGCTGGTGGCAGCTGCCCGATGATCCGGTTTGGGTTTCCCATTGGCGGGTTTGCCATGAATCCGCCAACACGTATCCCGAGTATGGCCAGAACGGCGGCAGTGGTCACATCAAGGGCGGCTCGGGCGTTGGCTGTTGTCTGTGGATGGAACATGAGCAGCAAGTGCCGATCCGTCGAGGGCTGTGGTGGACAAGGAAACACCTAACATGACCTTTTGTCGACTCTCTTCGCGGCGTATATCGGAGAAAGCTTCACGAATTGTTGGAAGAGGTTTCAAATTCAAAATCCGTGAGCGAGTCTGGTCAAACTCAGATTTGAGGCCGAGAAGAAATTTGAAGGTGCGTTTCTGTTCTATGATTTGACGAAATATGACAGAGTGTTCGTGACACTTCCAAGGGTACACCTCGAATAGATCTAGTTGTTGCCAATACCGAGTAAGAGTATTGAAGTATTGGGTGACGGAGAGATCACCTTGACGAAAGTCATGAAGAATGGTTTCAACAGCAAATAATTCGCTTGTATTGTCCGCACTAGAATAGGTCTCACGGGCAGCATCCCAGATTTCCT